AGAATAAAGATCAAGCTATCTCATGCTCAATAACAAAAAACTAGGAAGCATTTCTCTAACATTCAGCATTTCTGTAACAGTTTCTTATCCGAAAAGTAAGCAAGTCATAGGCAAGGAGCCTCTCTTCTGGGAAGATGCTCTGGATCAGTACAAATTCCCATATTCATAGGATTTATAGGATCCACCTTTCCTACCAGGAGGAGCATCAGTCCCTAATAGACTCACACTGTACCTGTCCCAGAGTTGCACATAGAACAATGTGTATGTTTATCTTTGCAGGAAATCAAATTTCTGCCAGTTGAGGGACCATTTTTGACTTGAGAAAGAATTTGGAAGAAAAAGAAGACGTTGATCCTTTGGCCCAGTTGAGGGTCCCTCGGGCAAGGCCAGAAAATGGAAGAGAGGGACTCCTCCAGCACTGAATCATGGAAAAGTTGTCTTGCCTTTCATGCTGGGAGTAGAGGGGAATTCTGGGAACAACCAACGCAAAAAATCCTGGCTGAAGATGCCACCAGTTTGGATGTGCAGCGCCAGCAATTCAGGCACTTTGGCTACCAGGAGGCGGAGGGCCCCCGGGAGGTCTGCAGCCGACTCCACCGTCTTTGCCGCCAGTGGCTGAAGCCGGAGAGGCGCAGCAAGAGGGAGATGCTGGACCTGGTGGTCCTGGAGCAGTTCCTGGCCGTCCTGCCCCCGGAGATGGAGAGCTGGGTCCGGGAATGTGGGCCGGAGACCAGTTCGCAGGCGGTGGCCCTGGCAGAAGGCTTCCTCCTCAGCCAGGCGGAGGACAGGAAGCAGGACCAGCAGGTGAGACTGACTCATTCTAGTGATTTCACGAGGTGGCGGAGGGGAAAATAAAATAACAACCATCTTCATCAATGGTACAGATTGTTTTTGAACTCCTCCAAGTCTGAGATGTCCTAACCTCCCACCCCAACGATTTTGCCTGCCCTGTTCCTTTTTAAATTCCTCTTCACTTCCCCTCTTGGGGTCCCTTCTTCTCTTTCAGGTGCAGTGGCCACTGGAAAAGGCCAGTGGCTTCCCAGAGGCAGAGAAGGATCTGGTGATTGCCAGGCAGAAGCTGCTGCAGACGGGGATCAAACAGCCGGGGAACTCAGGAGAGGCATCAATGGGTAAGGGCTGATGGGAGAAATTTCAACTTCTTCCCTGCCTTTTATATATACCTGAGATTCATTTGTCCCCTTTTATGTTCCTCTGGTGGTTTTTGCTTGGCTGAGATGCTGGTTTCCAGCCTCTCCTCTGATATCTGAATGTTTCAGCAGTGGACCGCTTTCAGCTGCAAGATCTTGATTTCAGGTGGAGTGCTTACAGGTTTCCCTGGTGCCCCCCAAGCGAAGGAAACTGGGAGCTAAAATCCCCACTACAAATTCCACATCAAGAGAAAATGCTCTAGGGTGTTGTACATTGTGCAAGACCCTAGAGCATTTTTACTTGATGCGGAATTTTTAGTGGGAATGTCAGCTCCCAGCAGAGGGTCGACAGATGCATAGTTTCTTTTTCCCCACCTGTTTAATATGAGGAAAGGCTGAAGACTCTGGAACGACTAAGGGGGGGGGGCATGATAGAGATTTATAAAATTAGGCATGGGTGGGGAAAGTTGACAAAGAGAATTTTGTCTCCCTTTCCTAAAAGACTAGAACTCGAGGGCATCCAATGAAGCTGATGGGCAGTAGGTTCAGGATGGACAGAAGGAAATACTACTTTACACAGAGAGTGATTAAAATGTGGAACTCGCTGCCAGAGAAAGTAGTTATGGCCACAGTTTAAAAAGGGGATTAGATAGATTCCTGGAGGATCAGTCTATCAATGGCTACTAGAAGAAGAAGAGAAGAGATTGAATTTATAGCTCGCCCTTCACTTGGAGTCTCAGAGCGGCTTACAAACTACTTTCCCTTCCCCTCCCCACAACAGACACCCTGTGAGGTGGGTGGGGCTGAGAGAACTCTGACACAAACTGCTCTTTCAGGAACAGCTGTGCCAGAGCTTGTGACTGACCCAGGGTCACATCAGCAGGTGCAAGTGGAGGAGTGGGGAATCAAGTTCTCCCAGATTAGAGTCCGCACACTTAACCACTGCACCAAACTAGCTATGGCGGCTGAGGGGAACATCCATATTTAGTGGCACTAATCCTCTGAATCCCAGAGCCAGGAGGCAATATCATCTAGAGGAACTGGTTGGCCCCTGTGTGGGACAGGATGCTGGACTGGATGGACTGTTAGTCTGATTCAGCAGGGTTCTTCTTATGTTCTTATGAAGGGGCATATGGAGGGAAAATGATATCCCCCCCCCCATCTTGAATTTTCACAAGTCCTCTGCTTATTAAATTTTTTCTGTACCCAGTTCTCAGTGGGAAGTGGAAAAATATCTTGCATCTATGAGGAATGGAATGTTCATCTTTGAGCAGTCAAAGATGAGGAGAGCCAGCTTGGTGTAGTGGTTAAGTGCGCGGACTCTAATCTGGGAGAACTGGGTTTGATTCCCCACTCCTCCACTTGCACCTGGCTGGATGACCTTGGGCAAGCCGTAGTTCTGATAAGAGCTGTTCTCGAAAAAGAGCAGTTCTGTCAGAACTCTCTCAGCCCCACCTACCTCACAGTGTGTCTGTTGTGGGGAGGGGGAGGGAAAGGAGTTTGTAAGCCACTCTGAGACACCTTTGGGTAGTGAAGGGCGGGGTATAAATGCAATCCCCTCCCCCTCCCCCTCTTCTTCTTCTTCTTCTTTTCCTCCTCCTCCTCCTCCTCACTGAAACTTGAAAAATGTGTTCTGACATAACATCAGCTCTCTGATCTATCAAGATCAACACTTGTTCAATAATTCATACAGTCCATGTGTCATTTTCACGCCCACACACAATGTGCTGAAATCTCAGCTGTATGTGAAAAGCTCCTCCTAACATTCTTGTGTCCTTCACAGGAGATGGATCGTTTCCGACAGTAGCTGCTAGATCAGCTTTTCCTTGTGGTGAAGTGGAAAGTATTTCTACGCCTCCAGGTCAGGTAAGGGAGGATATCCTGAAAGCAATATTCTGACTGAGCCTTCCCCCTGCCTCACATCTCCCTGGGCTCAAAGGAACCACTTGGAAGGTTCTGGATGCTTCTTGTGAAGGGCTAAATCCTGCAACCACTCATCTTTTGTGGGCTCTGCCCTCAGATTGAGCATTAGAGGGGGAAGGAATGTTATCCGTGAAGGCCAAATGTTCCTTCTTTCAGGGGCCAGTAACTTTTTTGTAAAATATATTTTTAATTTTAGAAAACAAGATAGTAAAAGGGATACAAAAGAGAAAAAGGGATTATACAATAAGCCATGTATTTGTAAATATTGCACAGTATATCAGAAAATAAAAATTACTTCTCCCCAACATACCTTTTCATCACAGTTTTTGGAGCATTTTCTATAAAGTACAATGATCCTTACTTCGGACATTTTAATTCCAAATTTTCATAATTGATCTGTTCTACAACTATGCTGCTGATTTCATCATTACTGCATATTCTGTATTGCATATTTCGTCATTTCTACTTACTCTCCATAACTTTTAATATAGCAAAATTTAGGGGGAAATCCATTATATATCTTTAAAAATATGTTGTTTCCTTATACGTTTGTAATCAGAACTTGTTCTCATTCAGCTTCATCTTATATACCTTGATACGCTTTGTACTACATTTATATACACTTTTTAAATTGTTCCTCATTTTCATTTTTAAACTTTCTCATTCTGAGTTTGTCTCCTGCATGCATAATATGCATAATAAACACCTCATCTCTCCTCAAATTTTGAAATTGATCTATTTCTCACATAAGTTGTTAATTTTGCCATTACTGCATAATCAGTAGAGTTTATTGTCCCATTCTTCTAAGCTTGGACAAACGTCTGCCAATGTTCTTTCTTTTAGGAGCCGGTAACCTTTGAGGAGGTGGCCGTGTGTTTCACCGAGGAGGAGTGGGCTGTGCTGGATCCGGGCCAAAGGACCCTGCACAAGGAAGTCATGGAGGAGAATTATGGACTGGTGGCTTCGCTGGGTAAGGTTCTCGCAGTCTGTGGGTTGATCAATGCAAACAGCAAAAGATAAAAAAAGGAACAAATCAATACCGCTTTCCCCCTTGCAATTTATCCGAGAAATGGACCAGTCACGAAATCCGAGGAGAGATGAAGTGTGTATTATGCAAGTAGGAGACGAATTTAGAATGAGAAGTATTTCAAAAAATTTGTACACAAATGTTTTGAAATGTAGAAGCAGAATGAATGCAGCATCTTGAATATCAATGTATGAAGAAGTAGATTCTAAACAGAAATATCCTCTGCCTTCTTATTATGAGATAACAGAGCAGATTTTCTTTCTGTACTCTGATATCTGTATATCTAATTCTCAACAGTCCCCTCTGCGTGCAGATAGTTATTTCCACAGATAGGGGGCACACTCTCCCCCAGCAGGTTTTTCTACAGACTCTGGGGACTTTGTGGGACTGCAGAAAAATCCAAAAAGGTATTAAAAAACCTCGGGGAGGGTTGAATCCCCCCAATACCATTTAAAATAGCCACTGCAGGGATCTACTTCAGGTCTCGCCGCATCGACAGTGGCTGATTACCAGGGTCGGGGGAAGCAAAAAGCAGAACTGGATCTGAGATTGGGGAGGATTCTGCACTGTATTTAGGGACTGTTTTCACTAATACACTGTACTTTTTGCACTGTATATATTTGGTTTGCACGCCATCCAGTGCATCAGCGTTTTCTTTTGTGTGGCCTCTGGTACTCGGTACCCTTTTTGGTTTCTCACAGAGGTCCCCCCCCCTTTTTTTTCAAGGCAAGAGACGTTTGGGGTGGTTTGCCATTGCCTGCAACCCTGGGTGTCTTTGGTGGTCTCCCATTTAAGCAGGGCTCTTTTTGTAGAAAAAGCCCAGGAGGAACTCATTAGCATAATAGGCCACACCCAACAGCAGGAACTCAGTAGCCTATTAGGCCACACCCCTGACAGCACAGGTCATTGGCATATTAGGCCACACCCACATGTTACCAGAAGTGTGGTCATCCAGCCACACCCACCTTTTGCTTCTTATTCTGTTTACCTTGTTTGTTGTCAAAACCCAGGGCCTTTTTTTGGAGCAGAAACTCCTTTGCATGTTAGGCCACACACCCCTAATGTAGCCAGTCCTAATGAGTTTCTGCTGTTGGGTGTGGCCTATTATGCTAATGAGTTCCTGCTGGGCATGGCCAACTTGGGAGCCAGCCAGAACTCTGTTCCTGTGCGTTCCTGCCCAAAAATAGCCCTGCATTTCAGTACTAACCAAGGCTGACCCTGCTTAGCTTCTGAGATCTGATGAAATTGGGCTAGCCTAGGCCCTCCAGGTCAGAGCATCCTACTGCACTTGTGACTTAAATGCAATTGCAACAGCTGCAGGATCTTTCTGCAAACAGTTGAAACAGAGATGGAAAGCACATGGACCTGTTTGTCAGATTTGTGAGTTAGATTGGTTTATTCAAACACACCTGCACCAACACTCAGCAACTATCACGCCTGTGCCGTGCCTCAACCACGGGGAGGGGGCGTGGCTCAGTGGCAGAGCATCTGCTTGGCATGCAGAAAGTCTCAAGTCCAATCCTCAGCATCTCCAGCTTAAAGGACCAGGCAGTAGGTGATGTGAAAGACCTCAGCCTGAGGCTCTGGGGAGCCGCTGCCAGTCTGAGTAGACAGTGCTGACCAGGGCCCTTTTTGTAGAAAAAGCCCAGCAGGAACTTATTAGCATAATAGGCCACACCCAATAGCAGAAACTCATTAGCCTATTAGGCCACACCCCTGATATCACTCGTTAGCATATTAGGCCACACCCACATGTTACCAGAAGTGTGCTCATCCAGCCACACCCACCTTTTGCTTCTTATTCTGCTTACCTTGTTTGTTGTCAAAACCCAGGGCTTTTTTTGGAGCAGGGACTCCTTTGCATGTTAGGCCACACACCTCTAATGTAGCCAATCCTAATGAGTGTCTGCTGTTGGGTATGGCCTATTATGCTAATGAGTTACTGCTGAGCGTGGCCAACTCGGGAGCCAGCCGGAACTCCGTTCCTGTGCGTTCCTGCCCAAAAATAGCCCTGGTACTAACCTTGATGGACAAGTGGTCTCATTCAGTATACTCAGCGATACTGTATTACTCAATTCAATTTCCAAAAATTCCCTATTTCGCCAATGTGTGTCAACTGGAGGCCAGAATATAGTGAAGTTCTTCCAGGGACAATTGCCTTTTACTCTTTTTGAAGAACTGCTGCAAGATGAATGGATCCCCCTGACGAAGCCTGTCGTTGAAACGCATGGGGATTTTTTGGATATTTAATTGAGTAATAAAGTATAGTTTTACCTGAATTCGTCGGCCTTGGCCTTGGCCCTATTTTTTATCTCCTGGGATGGATGCAGCTCTTTATTTTCAGAATAAGAAGAGAAGAAGAAGAGATTGGATTTATACCGCGCCCTTCACTTGGAGTCTCAGAGCGGCTTACAAACTCCTTTCCCTTCCCCTCCCCACAACAGACACCCTGTGAGGTGGGTGGGGCTGAGAGAGCTCTGACACAAACTGCTCTTTTTCAAGGACAGCTGTGCCAGAGCTTGTGACTGACCCAAGGTCACATCAGCAGGTGCAAGTGGAGGAGTGGGGAATCAAACCCGGTTCTCCCGGATTAGAGTCCGCACACTTAACCACTACACCAGACTGGCACCAGCGTTCCCTCTAAGCTGAGTTTGAGTTTGAACCATTGGTCCAGCAAGGTCAGTACTGCCCACTCAGACTGACAGTGTCTCTCTAGGGTCTCAGACAGAGGGCGCGTGTGACAATCACAGAATGACACAAAAGTGGCCATCCCTTTAGTCAACAGGAGCATTGAAACAAAGTTTGAGTCCAGTGGCACCTTTAAGACCAACAAAGTTTAATTCTGGCCACACGAAAGCCCATACCTTGAATAAAACTGTGTTGGTCTTAAAGGTGCCACTGGACTTGAACTCTGCCGTACTGCTTCAGACCAGCACAGTGACCAATGCTCCCTCTAAGCTGTGGAGTCTTGTGAGCAAAAATTCTACTTCGTGAGCTACTGGCAGTAAAGTTGGGAGCAAGCGATTTGGCTGCTGCATGAATCAGTTTGCGCTGGAGCCCTCCTTCCCGAGCTGAGACAAAAATGTGAGCCGGAGGCTAAAAAACTGTGAGCTAGCTCACACTCACTCAGCTCAGAGGGAACACTGACAGCGACCCACTTGAAACTAGGATCAGTGAAGGAAGAGACAGATGAGGGTTACCTTGAGAGGATGGAAGGAGGATAGTAGACCCCTGTGGTTGTGTCTGCTTTTAGTCCGCTGTTGTGAGCCTACATTTCTGTTTCAAGCCATTACCTTCCCGCCCACTCTCTTTATTCTAGCAGGCAGTGAATCAGAGATCGAAAAGGAGATTGAACCAGAAAGGCTGCCCGGGGGAAGAGACCCATACAGAGAGGCAGACCAACAGAAAAGGAAAACCGAAGCCCAAGTGCGGAGGAGGAGGAATAAATCCGTAACTTCTCAGGGTGTCGATGTCTATGAAATCCCCATTGAAGAAAAAATGGAGAAAGGCAAGAGGAAGAGGAAATGCCTCGTGTGTGGGAAAAGTTTGAGCTGGAAGTCTAGCCTCAAGGCTCACTGGAAAATTCACACTGGGGAGAAACCATTTAAGTGCCCGGAGTGCGGGAAGAGCTTCCGACAGAGGGCAAAACTAATTACCCATCAAAGAGTCCACACGGGAGAGAAGCCCTTCAAATGCTTGCAGTGTGGAAAGAGCTTCATTCAGAACGAATGCCTGACTTCTCATTTAAAAACACACTCAGGGGAGAAGCCATTTAAATGCCTGCAGTGTGGGAAAAGCTTCAGCTGGAGTCATAACCTGACATCGCATCAAAGAATCCACACAGGGGAGAAACCCTATAGTTGCTCCATGTGTGGAAAGAGCTTTTCTCAGAGGAGAGACCTTAATTCCCATGAAAGAATCCACACCGGGGAGAAACCCTACACCTGTTCCGAATGTGGAAAGAGCTTCCACCAGAACGCACACCTGACTTCCCACCAAAGGATCCACACTGGGGAGAAGCCGTACAAATGCTTGGAGTGTGGGAAGAGCTTCAGTCGGAGTTCGAGTCTCACTTCTCACCAAAGGACGCACACTGGGGAGAAGCCGTTCAAATGCTTGCAGTGTGGGAAAAGCTTCAGCTGGAGCCACAACCTGACATCCCATCAAAGAATCCACACAGGGGAGAAGTCATTCCAGTGCTTGGAGTGTGGGAAGAGCTTTAATAAGAAAACAAATCTCATTTCACATCAAAGGGTACACTCAGGGGGTTGGAAAAAGGATCCTGTGAATACCCACTTGATTCCACCTACTCTAGGTTCAGAAGTTGTCCCTGTTTCCCAGAATGCCACCTCTTCCCAGAATCCCCTGAATTACGAACCAACCCAAGAGGATAATTTCCAGTACTTTACTATTTATCTAAATGAGCAGATTATAATAGTTCAAACGTAAAACAAATGCTTAACAATAAAAAAACAGAGATGCCTACAAACGGCAGAATGACATGACGAATAAATTGGACCTAAATATGGTTAGAACAAAGAAAATGAAAATAAATTTAAAATGTCTATTTAACCTGAAATGAAAAATGAATTCAATCTGACCAGACTAACCAAGTGTCTCTCTTGGAAATTAACACAAAACGCTGACTTTCCTGTGAATTCTGCCCGATGGCCAATGTAGTTCTTAACAACAAAACCACAGCCTATATTGCTGAAAATTCCAAATACGTAGCATGTTTGTTGGGTCAAAGTGACTTCTCGGCTGCTCTTTTTAGAGATCAAGCCCCACATTAAGGATTTAATCCTAAGAGTTTGCTGTAGATTGATGGTGAAGAGTCCTCCTAAAACTTCCAAAAGAGTCTTGCGGGTCTGACTTAACGCCAACGGCTTCGTCTGAAACAGTTGTCAGTCTTCGCCCACAAACTTGATCTTGCTTATTTTTTCACTCCTAGTCTTGTGGATGACATAGGTATTTTGGGCTTGATCCTGTTTCTTGCTTGGTGTTCTGTAACATATATGGAATATTGGTTCGGCCCAAGAAGTCAGTAAATCAACTACCATCACCACATCTTCTAGAATTACCTCTCCTTTCTATGGGAGCTTTTTTGTTTTTTATCTTCTGAAGGTGGAATCACCTTTCTGACATTACTCTGCTGCGTCTGCTGACTTAAGTTTCCATCTGGTGGGCTACTGCAACGCAGTATACCACATGGCATAATGGCTGTCTTAAAGGCTAGCGTGTTTGTCCAAGCCAAGAAGGAGCTGGAGCATGTAACTGAATTCCAAAAGAGTCATTCATTGCAGCATGAGAGTTCATGAGTTCTCTTTGCTCATGCCACATTTTACGGGATAGCCCTGTGAAAGTGGTAGAGGACAGTTCTTCGAAATAACTTTGTATTCCACTTTTTTCCAGTTCTGGAGAGATTGTAGGAAGCTGTTAAACCTGGGGCTTTTTTCCTTCCAGGCTGGTGGTTGTTAACGATGGTCACGCATACACAGCAACTATTTGGGGTTTAGCATCTGATTTTGAGGATGCTGATAAATGGGCAGACGGAAGAGAAATGATAATAATAATACTTTCCATTTATTAATCGCTTTCCCCAGTGGGCTCAAAGCGATGTACAGTTACTCAATATAGACAAGGGACTAACAATGTTTGTAGGGGATAGGGAAGACAACATATATTCATTTTTAATTGCACACGCCGTCACTGCCCGGTATAGACGTCTTCTGGCTTGGCTCTGTAGTTTTCTGCACGACTGCGTGTTGGCCAGGCTTCAGGACCCGTATGTCAATCGCCACACTGCCACCGCCTGGCCGGAACATCCATTGCAGGGATTCTTTCGTAGCCCAGAAGCTATTTCGCCTTCCAAGCCTCGACCAGGACGTCTGACCGTCAGCTAACACCCTCCCACAAGGGAGATTGGCGTGCCCACTCTCTCTAAGGAGTGGTTCCCATTTTATCTACTCGCTGAAGCTTTCGAATCGTTGGGTGGACGATGAGCTGGGGACAACAGGCTGGCTGGTCACACCAGCGCGGGGCTTGAACTAACACAGTTCAGATGTTAAGACAGTGGGATATACCCACTGTGCCACTGCTGTTATTCCTGATTCAGGTGGGGTAGCTGTGTTGGTCTGAAGCAACCGAATCGAACCCCGTTCTCCAGATTAGAGTCCGTCGCTCTTAACCACTACACCACACTCCCCTGCGGACTCTTTGATGCGTAATTAGTTTTGCCCTCTGTCAGAAGCCTAATAGTGAAGGTGGGAGATGTGGATCTACATAATTTTCCGAAGTGATTAGGTAAAAATTCTTTTGGCGTTTAGTAGTCCTAGTGTATTGATGCCCGAGTGCTGGTGGAACCGTCCTGTGTGTTGTTAGACTGTTTGAAAATCATTGTTGTGAAAGAAGGCTTAGAGCTTGTTAACAGATTTATTTATCGCAGCTGGTATTACAGTCTTTTTTTTGCTTTTTTAAAAAAAGCGTATTGCGTTGCTTTTAGAGGAATGCTTCTCTAGTGTGCTGTGGGATCTGGTTCTTTCAATAAACCTGAGCTATTACCGAAAATGTGGATGAGGCCCAGATTTCTAAATATTAAGCAGAATCTGTGTTATCACTCAGAGGCTGAGGCTCAGTAGTAGAGTTTCTGCTTGGTATGCAAAAGGCCCCAGGTGGAATCCCTTCCATCTCCAGTTTGTTAAAAAAAATCACATCGTAGGTGAGGTGGAACACCTCCACCTTGAGAACCTGCAGGACCATCTCTCCTGCTCTGTTCCGCCGTCACAACTTCATTCCACCATGCAAAATCTTCTGGGGGCACCACCCTTCAAATGGATAAGACCAGCAGCTGCCCGTTCCGACCTGATTTCTGTGGAGTCTCCCACCTTGTATAAGGGTCCAGGGCTCTTTTTGTAGAAAAAGCCCAGCAGGAACTCATTAGCATAATAGGCCATACCCAACAGCAAAACTCATTAGCATATTAGGCCACACCCTGACAGCACCGCTCATTAGCACATTAGGCCACACCCTTGTGTTACCAGAAGTGTGGTCATCCAGCCACACCCACCTTTCCCTTCTTATTCTGTTTACCTTGTTTGTGGTCAAACCCCAGGGCTTTTTTGGTAGCAGGAACTCCTTTGCATGTTAGGCCACACACCACTAATGTAGCCAATCCTAATGGATTTCTGCTGTTGGGTGTGGCCTATTATGCTAATGAGTTCCTGATGGGTGTGGCCAACTCAGGAGCCAGCCAGAATTCCTTTCCTGTGCGTTCCTGCCCCAAAATAGCCCTGGCACCTGCCTGAGGCAATCAGGAAAGGCCCCCCCACATCTGACATTTCACAAAATGGACAAAACAGAATTAAGAACATAAGCCATGTTGATTCAAGCCGGTGGCCCATCTAGTCCAACACTTGGTGTCACACCGTGGCTAAAAAGGTGCCATCCGCAGGGCCAGAACTCCAGAAGCCCTCCCATTGTTGCCACCCAAGCATACAGAGCCTCACTGCCTTGGACATAAGAACATAAGAGAAGGCATGTTGGATCAGGCCAGTGGCCCATCCAATCCAACACACTGTCCAAAACCCAGGTGCCATCAGGAGGTCCACCAGTGGGGCCAGAACTCCAGAAGCCCTCCCATTGTTGCCTCCCCAAGCACCAAGAATACAGAGCCCCACTGCCTTGGACATAAGAACATAAGAGAAGGCACATTGGATCAGGCCAGTGGCCGATCCAATCCAACACACTGTCCAAAACCCAGGTGCCATCAGGAGGTCCACCAGTGGGGCCAGAACTCCAGAAGCCCTCCCACTGTTGCCCCCCCAAGCACCAAGAATACAGAGCATCACTGCCCCTATTGTACAGGAAGCGTTCTTGTAGGTGGAGTAAAGTTGTGGTGTAATGGATCCACTCAGGTGGTGACTTATTAGGGACAAAGTTTTTGCTACATGGAGGGTCTTTTTGCTGCAAGCTGATTTACACGGATTGTTCTTCTTTCCTTGCTCTACAATCCCAGCCCAACTGCTACATTTTGTTTTACTAGGAAGCTTTGCTGTTAGATTTAAAATATTACCGTATCTCGTAATCTAGAAGAAGGATAAGAGATTTGATTTATACCCCCGCCCTTCGCTCAGCATCTCAGAGCGGTTTACAATCTCCTTTCCCTTCCCCTCCCCACAACAGACACCCTGTGAGGTAGGTGGGGCTGAGAGAGCTCTGAGAGAACTACTCTTGAGATAACAGCTCTGAGAGAACTTAACAGCTCTGAGAGAATTTATGACTGACCCCAGGTCACACCAGCAGCTGCATGTGGAGGAGTGGGGCATCAAACCCGGTTCTCCCAGATTAAGAGTTTGCACTCTTAACCACGACACCAAACTGGCTCTCAACTGATTGACAGAGAAGTCGTTTTATCATACCTGTAGTCTGCCTTGAGTCCCAGTAAGAAAGATGGATTATAAATTAAAATAATAACAGTTCACAGGCCAGGCCTTTGCTGCTTTAGCTGAAAGAAACTCCATTTTCCAGTGAGTAATGACGCCCAAATTTGTTTCAGTCTTGGAGTCCTGCCATGGACCTGACCTGAGACGTAATCTGTGTCACGTTCTCTTGGATGGAAAAGTCCCAGACTCTTCAGCCGTTCCTCCAAAGGGAAAGTGCTCCAACCCCCTCATCCTCTTGGTCGCCCTCCTCTGTACTGTTTCCCAGCTCTGCAATGTCCTTTTGGAGATTCGGTGACCAGAACTGGACACACTATTCCAAATGAAGCCGCACCATAAATCTATGCAAGGGCATTACAATATTGGCCTTTTTATTCTCAATCCCTCTCCTAGCAACCACTATCATAGAGTCTGCCCTTTTCACTGCTGCAGGGTACACCTTACATTTGCCATACAAGTTACAATTGTGCCTAATGTCATAAATACAGTAGCTGATGTTGCCCATTCCTATTTGGTCCAGTGGAACATCAGACCCTCAAGGCCCAAATCTGTTCGTGGAGTATCAGGATCCTAACCCATTTTGTTCAGTCAGTGCCTAAAAGCTAACTTTCTGTTCAGGAGCAGAGTTCCAGGAGGAGGAGGAGGAGGAGACTGGATTTATACCCTGCCCTTCACTCAGAGTGGCTTACAATCTTCTTCCTTTCCTCTCCCCACAACAAACACCCTGTGAGGTAGGTGAGGCTGAGAGAGCTCTTTTGAGAACTGCTCATGAAAGAACAGCTCTGAGAGAACTTGTGACGGACCCAAGGTCACACCAGCAGCTGCATGTGGAAAAGTGGGGACTCAACCCCGATTCTCCCAGAGTAGAGCCCGCGTTCCTAACCACTACACCAAACTGGTGCCTAACAAGTCCTTCCCTGGTGCCCAAAAAGTGTTTTCGGAATGTGGGTGGGACCAGGTGGGGTTCTTACCCAGGAGGGCTTCTGATTGGCCGCTGGATAGCTGACTGGCTGTGCAGATCAAAATAACGTTTCAGTGGCAGCCGCCAGTGTTCTGGGGAAGCGCTTTGCAAAGGCATTTTGACCACAGTTGCTTTTTCCAGAAAAACAGGATCCTTGGCTTGTGTGTGGGGGAGCACTCTGCACATGCTCGGAGGTGCGAGATATTGAACAAGCCCACCCACCCCCTTTTGTTGCAAGCGACTTTGGCGCAGCCAGCGGAGGGCCTTGGTGCGTGCCGAGGGGGCGAACAGAGATGCGTCTCTCCTGGAGCAGGAAAGGGCTGTGCTCCAGGCTCGCTTTGCATCTGGGCAAGGAAGAAAGGGAAGAGCAAGGATCCTGGCAGCGAGGAAAGGAGGGACGGCTGAGCAGATCCAGGCCGGGGGCAGTGCGTCATTCTCCCCCCCTCCCCCCATCAGCCAGCTGCCGATTCCTCCCTGCAAGCTGTTTCCTATCCGAGAATCTCTGGAATGTAGGGTTGCCAGCTCCAGGTTGGCAAAAATATCTGGAGATTTTTGGGGAGTGGAGATTGAAGAGGGTGGGATTTGGGGAGGGACTTCCAAAACAGCCATTTTCTCTGGGTGAACTGATCTCTGTCACCTGGAGATCAGTTGGAATCAATGTTCCCTCTAAGCTGTGGAGTCTTGTGAGCAAAAATTCTAATTGTGAGCTCCTGGCATTAAAGTTGTGAGCAAGCGATTTGGCTACTGCATCAATTAGGCTTGCTCTGGAGCCCTCCCTTCCTGAGCCAAGACAAAAATCTGTGAGCCGGAGGCTAAAGAACTGTGAGCTAGCTCACACTAACTCAGTTTAGAGGGAACACTGGTTGTAATCCCAGATCCCCAGCTACCGCCTAGAGGCTGGCAACCCGTAGGCACACCTTTCCTTTCCCCAGGTGTCTTCGGAGGGGATTGATGTGGTACACCAAGGATGCTAAATTGGCCGTCACGAGGGCTAGGGCTTTCTCGGTGGCGGCCCCTACCTGGTGGAATGAGCTCCCGGAGGAGATCCGGGCCCTGCGGGACCTGGTGCGGTTCCGCAGGGCCTGTAAGACGGAGCTCTTCCACCAGGCTTTCGATTAGGGGCCGCCGCCCCCCCCCTATATTAACATCAATGTGGGGGGTGAGGGCCCTAGGAGGGTAGGAGGAACATCTGCTTAACATCTACTATGCAATGCCTACCGGGGACTGTTTGGTGTGTGGTTTGTCCTCTCTGATACTTTTGAAGGGATGCTGTTTAGTTTGAGCATTTTATTGTTGGATTGGGTTTTTAAATTTTATATTATGTTTAAATTTACTAAACTATCTGATGTTTTTATGAGCAAGTTTCTTGCCTTGTAAGCTGCCCTGAGCCCTTCGGGGGAGGGCGGGGTATAAATTTAACAAATAAAATAAATAAATAAATAAATAAATACACCTGAGCCAAGTACGGTGTGTGCGGAGGAGGATGCATGTCTGTGGGAGGGCTGGGGAGTGCGTGATTGGCCGGTAGACAAATCCCCACCCGGGAAGGGAAGAGAACTTCTCTTTCTTTGGATCAGCCCAATCGGAGCACCCCAGGACTGAGGACAGTGCTCAAAAGTGGGCTCTTGTGCCCAGCTAACGGGGAGGTACTGCAGGGCGGTTGTGTTTAAGGGTGTGTCCGGAGGCACAGACCCCCAAAGATGCACTCGCTCAAACCAGATCCGTTTCCAAGCAGCCTGCGGGGGTTTCCTGTTTTCTCACCCTCTGTTCCCATCATGGGAATCATATCGGCTTCCCATGGCAAGTGGCTGGAAGTATGCTGCTGTGCCTCATTGGGTTGGGTCCCGAAGAAAAGGGACTGCGCGGTCTGTGCTTCGGGTTTTCTGATCTCCACGGCTCCAACCCCCCTTTCGCATCGCCCAGGCCGGAATGGTTAAAGGGAGCGAGCCCGAGATCCTAGAGAAGCCGCCGGGAAAGGGGGTGGAGAGGTCGCTTCCTTCCTGCCGGGAGTCCGCACGTGGGAAAGCGGCCTTTGTTTTTCTCACGGGTGCCAAGCGCGCTCCGCTCCTCCCTGGCGGGTGAGTTAAAGCGGATCCCGGGGCTGGGGGGGAGGTAAGAGGAGGCAGGTCGCAGGCGGCCCCGATCCGGGAGAGCTGCTTCATTGCAAAGCTTCGGGGGATGCTCCGTCCGGCGCTCCTCCTTTGGGGGCTCTTTTGCACACGGCTGCCGGCGGATCCAGCCCCTTCCCCTGCATTGCGGAGGCCTGGCGAATGATTTGGGTTCGCAAGGTGGGTGGAAGGAGGAGTGGAGAGAGGCTGGATGGGCGTTCTCGGGGGTGAGGAAATGAAGCTCAGTGCTGGTAATGGGAAGTCTAAGGTGATGCACCTTGGGACCAAAAGCCCCAGCTTCAAGTCTAGGCTAATGGGGGTCTGAACTCGCTGAGGCTGAGAAGGAAAAAGATCTTGGGGTCGTAGCGGGGAGCTCAGTGAAAGTGTCAGGCACGCAGGAGCGGTGGAAAAGGCAAACCCTGCGGGAGGGATTATTAGGAAAGGGGCTGAGAATAAAACGCCTGTTATTGTAATGCTGAAAGAGTAACGTTGGAATGCCATATTCGTATTGCAATGCAGTATTGGAGTGCTAATATTGGAATGCCAAATAAGTACATAAGAGAAATAAGAACATAAGAGACACCAATGTTGGATCAGGCCAAAAGCCCATCCAGTCCAACACTCTGTCTGAAGAAGTACTTCCTCTTATCCGTTCTAACCCGACCGCTCAGCAGTTTCATGGAGTGCCCATGAGTTCTTGTATTGTGAGAAAGGGAGAAAAGTACCTCTTTCTCTACCTGCTCTTTCCCATGCATAATCTTGTAAACCTCGATCATGTCACCCCTCAGCCGTCGTTTCTCCAAGCTAAAGAGCCCTAAGCGCTTTAACCTTTCCTCATAGGGAAAGTGTTCCAACCCTTTTATCATTCGAGTTGCCCTTTTCTGCACTTTTTCCAAAGCTATAATATCCTTTTTAAGGTTGTGGCGACCAGAACTGCACACAGTACTTTTCTCCCTTTCTCACAATACGAGAACTCGAGAAATTGCTGAGCAGTCAGGTTAGAACAGATAAAAGGAAGCACTTCTTCACCCAAAGAGTGATTAATACATGGAACTCACTGCCACAGGAGGTGGCGGCTGCGGCTACGAGCATGGATGGCTTCAAGAGGGGATTAGATAAACATATGGAGCAGAAGTCCATCAGTGGCTATTAGTCACAAGGTATAGATAGGAACTCTCAGTCTGGGGCAAGTGATGCTCTGTCTTCTTGGTGCTTGGGGGGGGGCAACAGTGGGAGGGCTTCTAGTGTACTGGCACCACTGCTTGACCTCCTGATGGCACCTGGTATTTTTGGCCACTGTGTGACACAGAGTGTTGGACGACCAAACCGCGAGTCGAGAGCAAAGAGCTCCAAAATGAGGCTCTTCAGAAGTGGGAAACCAGGCCTTAGGGGCAAAACAACAACAACTCCCCATGTTAGTTTTCTTTTAAATGCCTACATCTGTAGGAGAGACATAAAAATTCATGAAATGTTGTACCAATGAAAAAATTGTAACATTTCTCTCCCTTCCCTCAACTTTTGGGAGGCGTACATGCAGAAGGTTTTTGGGAAAATTGAGATATAGCAAGTGTGCATGCACACGAAAGCTCATACTTTGAATGAATCTTAAAGGTGCCGCTGGACTCAAAACTTTGATCTTCAGTTATGTTGTTGCTTTAACACCATGCAAAGCACAGTTGATAATTTTACTTATAAGACTGTACTCTTTGGCATACTTTTGGGATCAGCTGCCTAGGGAGGTGGTGAGCTCCCCCTCACTGGCAGTCTTTAAGCAGAAGAAACCCTTGTCAGGGATGCTCTAGGTTGGTCCTGCATTGAGCAGGGGGTTGATGGCATATCTGGCCCCTTCCAGCTCTATGATTCTGTGATTCTAATTAAAAGGCATGCCTTGTTTTCTACCTAGAATATTCTGAATATGCCCTATAATTTGTTTTACCTTTACCTACTGAGAGATAAAAGTTGGGGAAAGAGAATAGATTTTGAGTAAACAGAGAAGCAAAACAGAATATTATCTGGGACAGTCATACAGTCTTAACAGAACTTGCATCATCTATCAAAGTCATCAGTAGCCACACAAATAGGCTGAGGGGGTAAAGGCATTGAGTATAATCACAATAATTCAGGAAGCCGCAGCAACGGCAAAGGTTTTAAAGCTGCCATAAAAGATGTTAAGATGTTTGGGTTAGGGAAGATGGTGAAATAGTACAGGATTGAATGGATAGAGAGCTGGGCCAGAGAGTGTGGGCTGGAGGCCAGTTCCCACATAGCAGCTGTGGCAGAAGCCTTCCTCTTAAGCCAGGCAGATGATAAGAACACAAGAGAGGCCATGTCGGATCAGGCCAATGGCCCATCTAGTCCAACACTCTGTGTCACACAGTGGCCAAAACCCAGGTGCCATTAGGAGGTCCACCAGCAGGGCCAGAACTCCAGAAGCCCTCCCACTGTGGCCCCCCAAGCACCAAGAAGACAGAGAGCACCACTCCCCTGGGCATAATGTTCCATCTATACTTCGTGGCTAATAGCCACTGATGGACCTCTGCTCCAGATGTTTATCCAGCTCCCTCTTGAAGCGTCTGTGATATGAAGCAAGAAGAATCGGTGAGGGCCTTTGAGGCTGAGAGCTCCAGTGAACAGAATATTCGAAAGGCTTCCGTAAAAATCTTTCCTCTCCAAGTGCCCAACCCTTTTCTGAAAGCAGTCTCAAAACGTCCTGTCCCTTCCCATGTGTGTCTGCCTTTTTCCTGTCCTAATCCCGCTCCTCTCTCCTTGTCTGCAGTTTCAGGGGCGATCGAAGGGGCTGCTGATTTCCCCAGAGCAAAAAAGGTGCTATCCGATCCAAGGCAGAGACTGTTCTTCTGGGGGACCATGTGGGAGAATGACAGAGGTGACTCCCGGCCAGGTAGGATTCTGGTTGTGCCCTGCTACTCGATCTCCTTCTCTAGAGTCAGCCTGCAGTTTCTGGGCTGCTCTTATGTTTTGGCAAGAATTCTGCATGGGAAAGATGTCAAGTTCTAGTCTAAGCTGTACCTTCAGGATGCATTTGATTTCAAGTGTGTAAGTCTTTGAACCAGTTTGGTGAAGTGGTTAAGTGGTGTAGTGGTTAAGCGGACTCTTAATCTGGGAGAACCGGGTTTGATTCCCCACTCCTCCACTTGCACCTGCTGGATGACCTTGGGCAAGCCATAGTTCTGTCAGAGCTGTTCTGGAAAAAGAGCAGTTTCTGTCAGAACTCTCTCAGCCCCACCTACCTCACAGGGTGTCTGTTGTGGGGAGGGGAAGGGAAAGGAGTTTGTAAGCCGCTGTGAGACACCTTTGGGTAGTGAAGGGCGGGGTATAAATCCAATCTCTTCTTCTTCTTCAGCCCAGGAGGAATGTGGAAATAGCCCGGCTAAGCAAAGAAAGCAAGCATTCACTTAAACCCCAGAGACAGGAACCAATTAGGGCAGTGTTCCACATTGGCCAATAGGAGCTAAATACTGGTCAAGAGTTGAGATAGGGAGATTGTTAGCTCCAACAACTGGGGTTTGGAAGACTGATAGTTAGGTTAGGGAGAGAAGGGTCAGTCTAAGAATATAAGAAGAGCCCTGCTGGATCAGACCAGTGGTCCGTCTAGTCCAGCATCCTGTATCACTCAGTGGCCAGCCAGGTCCTCTGGAGGCCCAACAACAGGGCAGAGAAGCCGAGGCCTTCCCCTGATGTGGCCTCCCGGCTCTGGGATTCAGAGGCTTAGTGCCTCTGAATGTGGAAGTTCCCCTCAGTCACCAAGGCTGGTAGCCACTGATAGACTTCTCCTCCATGAATCTATCTAATCCCCTTTGAAAGCTGTTTATTCCTGTGGCCATCCTCTGGCAGCGAATTCCACATTTTAATCACTCTCCGTGTAGAGTAGTCTTTCTGCCCTGAACGTACTGTTTCATTGGTTGCCCTCGAATTCTAGTGTTTTGGGAGAGGTCGCCATGTCTTCCAGGCGTGCACGCACCCACACAAATGCAAAACACACACACACACACACACACACACACACACACACACACACAAAGAGTGCCCTCTTCTGGACATTTTGTGGAATGATAGTACTATGGGAGCCTCCCCCAGCAGGCCGTTCCACAGAGTGGGAGCCACCACAGAGACAGCGTGTGAATTGGCAGTTGCTGATCTTACCCATTTGCAGGGAGGTACCCCTAGAAGGCCTTGCTCAAGACGAGCAACGCTGTGGTGGTGCAGGAGATGGGGGTCCCACTGGTATGTCGGTCCTTGGCTCAGAAGAGGAAGAGGAGATCGGATTTATACCCCGCCCTTCACTCGGAGTCTCAGAGCGCCTTACAAACTCCTTCCCCTCCCTACAACAGACACCCTGTGAGGTGGGTGTCCTTGAGAGATCAGCTGTGCCAGAACTATGGCTTGCTGTCAGTAAACTGCGATTTTTTTTCTTGTGGGTTTTTTTTTTTTAACTCTGCTGTATGGTGTGTGGGGGGTCTAGCCTGCATTTCTCTGTTCATTTCCTCTCAGTTCTGCTGTGACGTTTGTTTTGGCTTTGGAAGGTTATGCTACCTTTGTAGTTGATAAGCCTTTGAGAACTGCTGCTGGAGCCATTCCAAATCTGGCTGGTGTGACTCAAACAGCTAGGAGCTATCTCCCGCCTTGATTTTGTCCCACTTGAATTTCTGCTGAGCACAAACTGTATTCATTGGCCAACCCTGTTTGTTTGAACTGTCTATATCTGTCCATGCTTGGCTCTGAGTTTCATTCCTGACAATGACCGTGGAAGTGTATCAATAGTGACTTGTAATAAAGCAATCTATTCTTATGAATCATTGTGGACTGCAACTGCTCTATTGAACCTGACATTTGCCCAGGGTCATCCAGCAGGTGCAAGTGGAAGAGTGGGGAATCAAACCCAGTTCTCCCAAATTAGAGTCCGCACACTTAACCGCTACACCAAACTGGCTTTGTGGGTGATGAACAGTACTTTGAATGGAGACATAAGGACATCAGAAGAGCCCTGCTGGATCAGACCAGATGTTACATTGCATCTGAGGAAGTGTGCATGCACACAAAAGCTTATGCTGTGTTGGTCTTAAAGTTAAAACTGTGTTGGTCTTAAAGGTGCCACCGGACTCAAACTTTGTTCTGGTTGGCCACTGTGTGAGGCAGGATCTTATTCAATTCCGCAGAGCCTGCAAGGCAGAGGTGTTCTGCCAGGCGTTCGGTTGAGGACAGCAACAGTTGACATCATGGTTGGCACCCTACCTGGGCTCGGTTCCTTGTGGAGCCTGCCCCCACCTCCCCAGGCATGTGAAACACTCACAGACCAGATGCGAAGGAACTGCAGAAATGTTTGCCACTTGCTTTTAATTATTGTATAATGCTGGATAGGGCTTTTATATGTCTTTATGATTTTAAAATGTTGTATATTGCCTAGAGGCCCACGGTCGTGGGGATTAGGCCATTAATAAATGAATAATAATAATAATAATAACAATAACAACTGAGCAGTAAATATATAGTGAGACTGGATGAAGGCAATTGGTAAAACCTGTGAATAGCAGCAGATTAGCATACAGCATAATAAAAGAGTTTACAAACAGATGTGAGAACTGCGTGACTTAGTATGTGTAGTGACATAAGAAACCGATATCTCTGTTAAGCCCTGGAGGTTCAATTGTCCTGAGTGTTGCAATATCTTGTAACTCAGCGCTCTCCCGTTCTAGTCTGTTACTGAAATTCCTTTGCAATAAAACAGCTACTTTGTGGCCCCCCCACTGAATGTCCTGGGAGGTTGAAATGTTCTACAGGTTCCTCAGTTTTGTTATTGTTGGTGTCAATTTTGTGTCCATTTATCCTTTGGCATAGAGTTTGACTTGTTTGCCCTATGTAGAGAACTGAAGGGCGTTGTTGGCATTAAATGACATACTTAGTGTTAGAAGATGAGCAAGTGCAATGAGCCTGAAATGGTGTAGTTGATGTTGTCAGGTCCGGTGACTGTGTTGTCTGGGTGTATGTGGCAAGAAGGTTGGCATCTGGGTTTATTGCAAGCTCTGGTACCAGTGTCTATGTTCACATGAGATGTTGTATTATTGTGGGTGAGGAGAAGTTTGAGACTGGGGGGCTGTCCGTGCACAAAAAAAGATTCCCCCCCCCCCGAACTTGTGAAAGAGAACTGCCATTATCCAGTAGAGGTTGTAAATTACTGATGATACGTTGAACTGTTGTGAGTTAAGAGCTGTATGTGACCACTAGTGGTGTTCTGTTATTGTCTCTTTTGGGTGTGTATTGCAACAGGTTTTCTTTGGGCACCATTCTAGTTTTGTTAATAAGTTTCTAGTAGCCACTGATAGACTTATCCTCCATGAATCTATCAAACCAACTTTTAAAGCTGTTTATTCCCATGGCCATCATTCCATCCTCTGGCAGCGAATTTCACATTTTAATCACTCTCCGTGTAAAGTGGTATTTCCTTTTGTCCTTCCCGAACCTACTGCCCATCAGCTTCATTGGATACCCTTCAGTTCTAAACTTTTGGGAAAGGGAGAACAGTTCTCTTTGTCAACACTCTCCACCCCATGCCTAATTGTATAAACCTCTCTCATATCTCCCCTTCGTTGTCTCTTTTCTAAACTGAAATTTCTCAGACTCTTCGGTCTTTCCTCATAGGGAAGATGCTCTGAGAATTCCTCCCAAGACAAGCCAGGAGACAGCCTGCGGCAACCAAATCTGCATCCTTCCAATGCAGCTCCCATCAGGGGTTACTGAAGGGTCTCTGTAAAGAGACCATCACACATCTGTCACCCTGGAGGAGGAAAATGGGATTGGCTACAACACAGAAAGTGTGTGTAACAGCTGAAAGTTACCTTCAGCATTACCTGATTTTCTAAGTAATTTAGAAATTTGGACCTTGACAGACCCAGTGGTCATAATCAGCATAATAAATGGCTTTCAATACACAGCTTTCAAAGGGGATTGCATAGATTAATGGAGGAGAAGTCTATCAATGGCTACTAGCCATGGTGACTGAGGGGAACCTCCACATTCAGAGACATTAATTCTCTGAATCCCAGAGCCAAGAGGCAACATCAGTGGAAGGCCTCAGCCTCTATTCCCTGTTGTTGGCTATCTGGAGGAACAGGTTGGCCATTGTGTGAGACAGGATGTTGGACTAGATGGACTATTGGTTTGATCCAGCAGGGCTCTTCTTATGAAGGCCTCGGCCTCTATGCCCTGTTGTTGGCCATCGAGAGCAACTGTTTGGCCCCTGTGTGAGACAGGATGCTGGACTAGCTGGACTATTGGTCTGATCCAGCAGGGCTCAGCCTCTATGCCCTCTTGTTGGCCGTCCAGAGGAACTGTTTGGCACCTGTGTGAGACAGGTTGCTGGACTGGATGGACTATTGGTCTGATCCAACAGGGCTCCTCTTATGTTCTTATGAAGGCCTCAGCCTCTATGCCCTCTTGTTGGCCGTCCAGAGGAACTGTTTGGCACCTGTGTGAGACAGGTTGCTGGACTAGATGGGCTATTGGTCTGATCCAATAGGGCTCTTCTTATGTTCTTATGAATTGGGGAGGTCTAAGAGAGATCTTCCCTCTGAGATTGTGCTGGACCAGGGGTGGATCATCTGCTTTGCATTCAGCAGGTTTCTGGTTCAGTCTCCAGTCAATAGCATCAGTTGAGAGTTGATGTGAAAGACCTCTGCCTGAGACCCTCAAGAACCACTGCCAGTCAGAGTAGACAAGACTGACCTTGGACTCAGCAAAAGGTAGCTTTGAGAGTATGTTACCTTCCTTGTTCCATGGTCAAAAAGTAACCTGCTTCTGTTCTCCTACTGACTTTCCCTGAGAAATGTTTACAGATAAGGCACAGGAAAAGACCACATTCTAGCATAAGACTGCTGCTTTCCTTTTACCCAGAGGCTCTGTTTCTCCCTCACCAGGTTTTTTTGTTCATTCCAACAGGGCAGGAGGGGAGAAGAACGGAAAAGAGGGAATAAAGCAAAATCAAAGTGGACCAAGAAACTTCTGAAGGTGCTGATTTCCATGAAATTGCAGTCTAAGACCAAATTAGTAAAGGAAACAAAAGTAGTAGCTTCACTCAATGTGCAAAATTCTTTGCTCGGAAATCAAGCCTTATCTCACATCAGAGAATGCAAAATCAGGAAAAGGCGTTGGAAGAGTCAGAGTGTATGACAAACCTTATCTTACAGGAAACTCTGCTCACACAGGAGAAACCACACACATGTTCACAGTGTGGAAAGAGCTTCAGAAGGCAAGGCAGCCTTGTACAACATCAAAGAAGCCACGCAGAGGAAAAACCATATCCATGCTCAGAGTGTGGGAAAAGCTTCAAGCAGAGTGCGGAACTCACTTCCCATCAGCGAATTCACACAGGGGAGAAGCCATACACATGCACAGACTGTGGAAAGAGCTTCAGTCAGAGCTCAGGCCTTACTTCCCATCAAAGAATCCACACAGGGGAGAAACCGTATAAATGCCCAGACTGTGGAAAGAACTTCACATGCAGTGGAAATCTTACAGCCCATCGAAGAATCCACACAGGGGAGAAACCATATAAATGCTCAGAGTGTGGAAAGAGCTTCAGGGTGAAATCAAGCTTAATTTATCACCAAAGAATCCACACAGGGAAGAAACCATATAAATGCTCAGAGTGTGGAAAGAGCTTCAGTCAGAGCGCTCACCTTACTGCCCATCACAGAATCCACACAGGGGAGAAACCATATAATTGCCCAGAGTGTGGAAAGAGCTTCAGTAACAGTTCTTACCTTGTTTACCATCGAAAAATGCATACGGAGAAGAAACCATATACATGTTCAGATTGTGGAAAAAGCTTCCTATTGAGTGAAAAACAAACAGCCCATCAAAGAATCCACACAAGGCAGAAACGATATAGATGTTCAGATTGTGAAAAGAACTTCAGTGTGACCTCAAGCTTTACTAAGCAGCAAAAAATCTACAGAGCAGACAAACCATATACATGCACCGAGTGTGGAAAAACATTCAGGGAGAGTGGAAAACTTGCTTCCCATCAAGCAGTCCATGCAGGGGAGAAACCATATAAATGCTCAGAGTGTGGAAAGAGCTTTGTCTGCAGTGGAAATCTTACAGCCCATCAAAGAGTCCACACAGGGGAGAAACCATATAAATGCTCAGAGTGCGGAAAGAGCTTCAGACAGAGTGTAGATCTTACTTCCCATCAAAGGATTCACACAGGAGAGAAACCATATACATGCATAGAGTGCGGAAAGAGCTTCCGTCAGAGATCACACCTTATTTTTCATCAAAGAATTCACACAGGTGTGAAACCGTATAAATGCTCAGAGTGTGGAAAGAGCTTCAGGGACAGCTCAAACTTTAAATACCATCAAAGAATCCACACAGGAGAGAAACCATATAAGTGTTCAGTGTGTGGAAAGGACTTCAGGCAAAATCGAAAGCTTATCTCCCATCAAAGAATCCACACAGGAGAGAAACCATATAAGTGCTCAGACTGTGAAAAAAGCTTCAGGCAGATTGCGGACCTTACCTTACATCAAAGAATGCACACAGGGGAGAAACCATATAACTGTTCAGACTGTGGAAAGAGCTTTAGTCGGAAGGGCACCCTCACTTCCCATCAAAGAATCCACACGGGAGAAACTAACCTTATAAATGCTTAGAATGTAGAAAGAGCTTTTGTGTGAGCTTCTAATGTACTTCTCATTACAGAATTTCTGCAGGAGCACCCTTATACATTTTCAGAGTGTGAAGTGTTCTACAGTCAGTACATGTACATTACACCCCATTAAAATTCCAGGTTGCTGACAAACCATTCCTTTTCTTAGAAAACAAAGGTTGAGCTGTCCAACTAGTCACACAAGGGTGAAAAAAATATATAATGGCTAAGAGTGTGGTGAGATCTTTGGTAAGTTCTGAAGACTTTATTTCACATCTAAGTTGCCCCCCACCTCCCCAGAGGAAAGAACCTCTGTAAAGGTCTAGTGTCTGGAAATCTCTCTCCTTGGTATTCCTTGTCAAAATTGCCTGGTGCTGCTTTTGCCATGCTGAAACAGTGCATGGCTGCTTTGGTCACAGTGAAAAAGATGAAACAGAAGATTTCTTGGAAGCACCATCTGGAAGAGACCACTTCATATTAGACCTATTTGGCTCCTGATTAGTTTCCAGGTACAATTCAAGGTGCTGGTTGTCCCCTATAAAGCCTTTCCATAATCCATGTCCTGAATATCTGCAGGACAGGCTCTCCCTGCTCTGTCTGTCCACTTGATCCGCCTGTAGTGGACAGAGAGCCACCCACGTCGTCATTCCTCAGAATACTTTAAAATGGCACTTGAAATTGAAATTGAAAAAGGTTGTCGTGAATGTTGAATTTAAGGTTGTCTTCATGTTTAATATGGAGCTGCGGTGGCTCAAGTGGTTAAGACGCTGAACTGCAGGCTGTGGAAGGTCGGTAGTTCAGCAGTTCGAGACCAGAGTGTGCCGCATAACGGAGTGAGCTCCCGTCTCTAGTTCCAGCTCCTGCCAACCTAGCAGTTCAAAAGCAAGAAATTGCGAGTATTCTCGGCCTTTTAGCTAAGATCAAGTGTAGTATCTGTTCTTATCAGTTTAAAAAAAAATTGCGAGTAGATAAATAGGTACCACTTCAGTGGGAAGGTCACAGCGTTCCGTGCGCCTTGGTGTTTAGTCATGCCGGCCACATGACCACGGAAATGTCTTCAGACAGCGCTGGCTCTTCGGCTTTGAAACAGAGATGAGCACTGCAACCCTAGAGTTGGATTCGACTGGCTTTCGAGCAAGGGGAACTTTATCCTCATGTTTAATATTGTACTTCTTCTTTTTTTTCCCCATCGTCCTCTAATTTTGTAATCCAAATTTATTGAACACAACGAGCACATAAGAAGAGCCCCACTAGATCAAACCAGTGGTCCGCAATGCTCCCTCTAAGCTGTGGAGTCTTGTGAGTAAAAATTCTACTTTGTGAGCTACTGGCATTAAAGTTGTGAGCGAGCGATTTGGCTGCTGCATCAATTAGTTTGCTCTGGAGCCATTCCTTCCTGAGCTAAGACGAAAATGTGTGAGCCGGAGGCTAAAAAACTGTGAGCTAGCTCATACTAACTCAGCTTGGAGGGAACACAGGCTGGTCCATCTAGTCCAGCATCCTGTCTCACACAGTGGACAACCAGTTCCTCTGGATGGCCAGCAACAGGGCATAGATGCCGAGGCCTTCATAAGAAGAGCCCTGCTGGATCAGACCAGTGGTCCATCTAGTCCAGCCTCCTGTCTCACACAGTGGAAAACCAGTTCCTCTGGAGATCCGGCAATGGCATAGAGGCCGAGGCCTTCCCCTGATGTTGCCTCCTGGCTCTGGGCTTCAGAGGTTTACTGCTTCTGAACCTGGAGGTTCCCCATAGTCACCATGGCTAGTGGCCACTGATAGACCTGTCCTCTGTGAATCTATCTGATCCCCTTTTAAAGCTACCTGTGCCTGTAGCCATCATGATATCCTCTGACAGTGAATTCCACATTTTCATCACTTGTGGTGTAAAGGAATATCTTTTGTTTTGGCCTTGAATCTACTGCCCATCAGCTTCATTGGATGTCCTTGAGTTCTAGCGTTTTGGGAGAGTGGGTGAAAGTTCTCTTTATCAATGTCCACGCCGAGGGGACTGTTGCCTCCATTCAGGCCCCAGACCTGGTGTCTTCCATGGCAGCACTGGGGCTCACCCATTTTGTATCGGGCCCCACACATCAAGCAGGCCACACACTGGACTTGATTTTTGGTATGGGGGTAGATGCTGATCTGACTTCAAAGGGGGAAGTGCCATGTTTGGACCATTTGGTTTTAAAGGCCCGGCTGGGTGTTCCTACTGCCCCCGCCCCCACCCCGGCCTGGGCAGCAAGCTGATTTATGCTCACCTGGGGAGACGAATGGATCCATTTGGATTCCAGAAGAAGATATTGGATTTATACCCCGCCCTTCACTTGGAGTCTCAGAGCGGCTTACAAACTCCTTTCCTTTCCCCTCCCCTTCCCACAACAGACACCCTGTGAGGTAGATGTGGCTGAGAGTGCTCTGACAGAAACTGCTCTTTTCAAGAACACCTCTGACAGAACTGTGGCTTGCCCGAGGTCATCCAGCAGCTGCAAGTGGAGGAGGGGGGAATCCAGCCCGGTTCTCCCAGATTAGAATCCGCACCCTTAACCACTACACCAAACTGGCTCTGCAGGATCCGATGCCTTCTGGCATCTCATTAGATGAGCCGATAGGGGACTGGAACTTCCGTCTCTCTGAAGCCATCGATGAGGTTGCTCCGCGATGTCTTCTGTGATCTCGTCGTAGATCATCCCCCGGGTATACTGCAGAACTTGGGAATGAAACAAGAACTGAGATGACCTGAGCAAATTTGGTGGCAGGATTGCGACACAGCTACAAGAGCATCTTAGAGGACGTTTATGAAATCCTGTGAGGTGGTGGTGAAGGAGAGCGAAGAAGGAGAGCCAGTTTGGTGTAGTGGTTAAGTGCGCAGACTCTAATCTGGGAGAACCGGATTTGATTCCCCACTCCTCCACTTGCACTTGCTGGATGACCTTGGGCAAGCTGTAGTTCTGGCACAGCTGTCCTTGAAAAAGAGCAGTTTCTGTCAGAGTTCTCTCAGCCCCACCCACCTCACAGGGTGTCTGTTGTGGGGAGGGGAGGGGAAGGAAAAGGAGTTTGTAAGCCGCTCTGAGACTCCAAGTGAAGGGCGGGGGTATAAATCCAATCTCTTCTTCTTCTCTGCCTCCATTGCGTCCACTAGCTCACATCTGGCACAATTGTTTAGGGTGATCTGCTCCCTAAAATCCCTCACAGGGGGGAGCCAAAATAGTAGAAATTTGGCTGTTAGCCGTGGGGCATTCACGAGCTTTCTTGCTGATAAAGAGCCAGTTTGGTGTAGTGGTTAAGTGTGCGGACTCTAATCTGGGAGAACCGGGTTTGATTCCCCGCTTCTCCACTCGCAGCTGCTGGATGACCTGGGGCAAGCCATAGTTCTGATAAGAGCTGTCCTGGAAAAAGAGCGGTTCCTGTCAGAGCTCTCTCAGCCCCACCTACCTCACAGGGTGACTGTTGTGGGGAGGGGAAGGGAAAGGAGTTTGTAAGCCGCTCTGAGACTCCGAGTGAAGGGCGGGGTATAAATCCAATCTCCTTCTCTTCCTCTTCTTCTTGTCGCTCTGCAGCAACCTACCCACCAGTATTGATACAGTATGTGGACTGGAGGCCCCTTGGCCTCTTTGGATACAGTTTTTGATACCTCCAACCTGCTTTCCTCTGCTGGTGTCAACAGGCTCCTGGGTGCTTTCAGACCAACCATGTGCCTCATTGGTCTGTGCCCCTCGTGGTTGGTGAAAGCCGGAGATGAGAGGAATCAGGGCCCGTTGCTGGATGTTGCCAAATCTGTCCCTGGAAGCGGGCCTATCCTGGGGGTCTTAGGGAGGCCGTGGTCGTACTGCTCTTAAAAACAACAACTGTGGATCCTTCAGATCCTGCCAATTACCACCCAGTTTCGAATTTATCATCCTTGGGTAAGGTAACTGAGAGATCGGTAGCTGAACAGCTCCAGGGCTTCCTGGACGACACATCAGCATTGGACCCATTTCAGTCCAGATTCGACCCTGGTCATGGGACGGAGATGGTTTCGGTCGCCCTGACAGATGATCTCCACAGAGGGCTGGGTCGAGGCGGGTTGGCGCTGCTCTCGTTATTAGATCTTATGGCAGCATTCAACATGGTTGACTACAATCTTTTGACCCACTGCCTCACCGATGTAAGAGTTCAGGGACTGGGCCCTCAGTGGCTTACTTCATTCCGTCATGGTCGGGGACAGAGGGTGGCGCTGGGAGATAATGTGTTCTCCAGATACCCCTCAGGGGGCACTTCTCTCCCCGATGTTATGCAACATGCATACATGCATCCCCTCACCCAGCTGATGTGGTGTTTCGGGCTAGGGGGTCCCAGTACGCTGATGACACCCAGCTGGATCTTTTATCGGACCACCGCCTGGATACCACCCCAAAGAATTTGGCCGCAAGTCCGGGGGCTGTGGTTGGGTGGCTGAAACAGAGCAGGTTGAGACTGAATCCAATCAAGATGGAGGTTCTGTGGCTGGGGGTGGGGCCTTTGGGAATGGGGCATAGATTTCCCACTCTTGATGGGGCGCCCCAGCACAGCACAGTTCGTCAAGAGTTTGGGAGGGACCTTGGATGCCTCCTTGAAGATGGAGGCCCAAGTCACACATATTGCCAGGCTGGAGTTTTTCCATCTGTGCCGGGCTCAGCAATTGGCCCTTTCCTGTTGCACCCTGACCTAGCCACGCTAATCTATGCAGTGTGTTACCTCCAGGCTAGACTACTGTAACTCGGTCTGTGCTGGCCTGCCCTTGAGACTGACCCAGAAGCGCCAGCTGATCCAGAATGCGGTGGCGCGAATCCCGATGGGAACATCACGGACAGCACACATACATCCAGTGCTGCGCCAGCTTTACTGGCTCCCAGTGGAGTACTGAGTCAAGTCCAAGGCTCTGGTATTGACCTTCAAGGCATTGAGCAGTCAGGGACCGATGTATCTACAGGGCTGTCTCCTCTGCTATGTCCCCAGGAGAGCGT